CATTTGCATATACAATTGCGGTCCAGGCCCGAGTTGCTAACGATTTTTGGGTTCAGGAGCTGCTTGGGCTGCGATTGGGAAGCTAGAGAGCTGAGTTTAAAATTTTTATCTCGCACGTGCATGGAGAATATTCCTGCAAAGTTTCAGCTTTCTACGTTGCCTGGTTCGCGAAATCGTTCCCCGCCAACGTATTTCGTTGGGGGTCCCGTTCGCATTAACATCAAACCGGCTGTACCCAATATCCCGGTGATTTTGATAATTTCGGAATTCCGTTTGATTAAAACGGAACGAAAAAAGAAAGGGAGGAATGAGAAAAAACATGAGGGAAAACTCTCAAAAAATGTTCAGAAAATCATCATGCGACTGGCCAGCTTTACTTATGAAATATTCAAGAAATACGATTATTCTGCATGACGACGGCGATCGCAATGGGTTTGGATTATCTATTTGAGCTAATATTGTTCGGACCTGTACTGGCACTAGCTGCCCACTGCGAGAAACGAGACTGGAAGCGGTTGGTGAGCTCGAATTCATTGAAAACCCCATTGTACGGATGGCGACTACAGGTTCGTTGTGTATTATCACACTCTTTCACTTGCTATAACGCAATTTGGTTGGTACTACTCGGTCTGCTTCTAATGCCTCTATCTTTCATAGACAGTGAAGCGTGGTGGGTCACCAGTCCAGCTGAATAAATACACTAGGCTTCGTGGAAATAAATTTGTCAGAACAGAAAAAAATGGTTCAAAAATTTTGACAAGACAAAAAAAAACGGAAAAAACATTCATTCAAATTAATAAATATTTAAAAGAAGTAAAATTTTATGTCTTTAAGGTAATGTCAATGGAGTTTTGGGAAAACTTCAAATTGCTTTCTTTATTATTTTCTTTTGAAAGTAACGTACGTGTTCTGTTCACGGTGCAAGGAAGATCAGATTAGCTGTTGAATTTAAGAGGGATTGGCAAGTTTCAGATAGACACGTTTATGAACTGGGTACTGAAGATGTACTGTCGTATCCTGGAACATCGCTGCTTTACGGTATTTTTGGCTGTGGCACTGGTTGCTTACTGGTATTTTGCAATCATTGGAGCACTGAACATTAAAACAAGATTGGATACCGCTAAAATTTTGCCAAAAGATTCCCCAATTCAAGCTCCAAATCGCATTCTCAGTGATATCAGTTAGTTTTTCCCTCCAGGATTTGTTTGCGCCTAAAATGTACCGTGCTTCCAATGCATCCAAAGAAGCACGAATTGTCGGAATGAGACTGTATAGTTTTATTTCCAGTATGGGTGGAATATCATCCGGCAACAATACTTGTAAACAAACCTTTGGATATTAGAAAGCGTAGACCGATGGAACGATTTTGGCAGCTTGTTGACGATTTCGAAAGTTTACCACAATGTCGAGGTGATTTATAACAAACAAACTCATCTAAACTATCTTTTTTGTAAGATCAAAATCGAATTTTGTTCGTGTATTTATTTGGTAGCGCAAAGTGTGTATAACGTGTGTATAGCCTGTATAGCCTGTAAAGTGTGTATAGCCTGTGTGTATATGTTTTCGGGTTTTTGTCCGATTTTTCAACTGAGCAACCGGAGAGGCTAAGAAGCTAAAATTTTAGAAGAATGTTTCTCGCCAGTCTTGGCACCTCCAATTTAAAGACACTTTTCCCGTATGCCTACGTCTTACGTGCGGATATATGAAAGTCCTGGCATGGGTTAAAAAATTCTGGCAGCGCTACCTTTAAATTCAGCATCTACATAAGGACATGTGAATGTCTTGACAAAAAATTTTCTAACTAGGTAGCCAAAGTTGAAATATTAGGGCGATGTTTTCAATTCTTGGGCGAGCCTAGGAATTTGAATTTGGCTTTCCCATGCACCCAAAATCTCATTTGCGAGCACAAAAAATAATAGAGATGAGAAATTTTCTGACTCATGGAAAACCATGATGAAGGCTGAAATTTTAGGGCGATGCCTGCTGCTCACGCTGTTTACAGTGAAGTTCGCAGGACAGAACTGCACAAAATGCATAACTGCACTGGTTAGCAGGTGCGCGCTGTTATCTAAATTCTATTTTATTCCAGGCAGTATTTCGACGCTGCTTTGGCTGCGCGATTACGTTAAATATTATGAAAGCCCAACGTCACTGTGGTCTTTCTTCGGTCTGGATGATAACAATAGGAACAGGAAAGCAGCGAACACGGAAACAGGTCTCGACTTCGATAAACTGGAAGAATTCCTCGAATCGCCGTTCTACAAGCACTGGAACACTTTCGTCAAGGTAGTCCGAACAAAGTGAGTGTAATTCCCGTAAATTTCAAAAAATGCACTAATATTTCGATCACAGCAGCAGCAGGGGGAGACTTTATTGATCAAAAATATTGCAGGGAAGGCATTCGTGTAAACCGATTTTGGTTTACCGTTGCGTACTCAAATACGTCGACCTGGGAAGTACGAATTGATTTGATGCAAAAATGGAGGAAAATTGCTGAGAAATACGAGGTTACTTATTAATATTCGTGTTGCTACGGCAGGGCCAAATTTTGCGCGGGGGGTGAGGAGGAGGTGGAGGGAGGAATGAAAACATGAGGGCTGCAGAGGTCAAAAGGCTAACTAAAGGTGAAGTAAAGCATTTCGATCTAAAAAGTTATTTTGGTTTTCAAAAAATGTGATTCGGCCACAGATTCCAAAAGCATCGAAGGTGCGGTATCCTTGTAAGGTG